AGAGCCTGACATTTAGGAGCATGGATTATGTGATTATGTAGTCAGATTTGGATTCAAAGGAAGATTGCACCTGTTATTAACTTGGGTTAGATATGTAACCTTCAGTTTTCTCATTTGTACAATGGGAATAATATCAACCACATAAGGCTCGTAGAGGAATTAAATGATATAAATTTTTTTTATAACCAAACAACCCATGACATATAGCAAGTGCTCACCACATGGCAGTAGATATTAAAATTATTATCATGGACCAAAACTTTGATTTGCCTGTATATGCCACCTTGCAATTATAATGAGAGCATGTTAGAAAGAGTTAAAATGATGGACTGAGGTTTTTTGATTTGTACTACATCTTTTGGGAAATCCCGTATGAAAAAGAAATATTTAAGATTTTATATCCTATATGGTGAAGTTTGCCTTCAGATACATATTTTTGACTCTCCAGGAATGCCAGCTCAGGAGTTCAACCACAAAGAAGGCCATTTGGTCACCTTACCCAAATTAGGGTTAATTATAGTCCCTTACACACAGTCGTCTTCAGATTTATTAAAATTTACATTTATCTGGCTGGCACATTTTGAACACACAATAGTACCATTCCAAATTTTACATAAAAAGAGCTTAGATTTCCAGGTACATTTCTCAATTTAGTGGCTTGTTTAAAGAAGAAAACATAATTTATATTTTGAAAGATACTGAAGCCAAGTGCCCATTTAATTTTCTCTTTCTTAAACCTTCTGATTTGGCCCCGGTGGGGCTTCACGGTTCTAGGCCATTTCTGGCTTTTTGCTTAATGAAAAGCTAAAAAAATGTTTTAAGCGAAAGCACTATTAAAATTGAATTTCCAGCTTCTACTAGAATGTTCAGGTTTTAAAGATTTTTCTTTAAGAAAAACTTAAAGTGAGAGATTCATTTCTTCCATAAACAGTGCTCCCTAAAGGTGAGCTCAATTTAAAAAACAAACAAACAAATATGTTTCTCTATACAGATCTTATCAAATCTCCCAGAAGGGAGTGTCTTCGTTTCCCTTGGAATTAATGTCCATATGGCATTTCTGTTGACTCTTCCTATTCGTGCTACTGTTGCTGACTTAGTGTGAGAGTTTGGTCATAGTCTTAAACTATCACTTGGTATGAGATTCTTATAAAATCATCAGTTTTCCTTGGTCATATTTCATATCAAAAGAGACTGTTACAAAGTATTATTTCTAAACATCATTTATGAACTTATCTTCAAGAAAAGCAGAGAACATAAACCCCCAAATATCTCTGTTACAGGTATTATTACATAATGTAGGCAGTGCATGGGGAAAAGGTGGCCCCAGGCTGAAACCAGTGGTTACTCTTAGTAGGTGGAATAATCATGAATGCAAAATGATGGTGCTTGGCCCCAGACGCCAAGTAAATAGTATAACCACAGAGATGTCTCTTAAATAAATGTTTTCTCTGTATGAGGCCATTTGTCATATTCTACACAAGGACTACTTTCTGTGGTCTACGAGGCAGCATTTTTCTGCCCTTAGACAACAGCATTTAGTGGGTCATTCTCCCCCAATCTCTTGCCCCTACTTCCCACACATAACCCTTCCTGTCTCTGAGTGATTTTATAGATCAGTTAAGGAAAGGATCTACAGATGGTGAATAGAACAAGTATGAAATGGGATCTATCCTTTGCCCCATAAATGCAAAACCATGAAAAAACTCTCCTGGGTGAAATGTTCCAGTATCTTCCCTTCTGAGATCTACCTTAAAATTAAAGGGTCTTAAGTCTACATGATTTGTTAATGTCTGCATTATATTATTAGAAAGACTTTATTTTCAGAACATTTTTTATTACACACTTATAAGAATATTTGACAGAGATAGAGATTGGGGTGCGGTGGTAGACTTTGTAAAGTAATTGTTTAAAGGGATGAGGTAGACTCTGTAACCCCTGAATTTAAACCTAATCAGAATGTTTAAAATGAAAGTTTTAAAGAATTATCAGTTATTTTCCAGTCTTACAGACAGATAAGAAAAAATGTAATCCAATGAATTTGGGGCTTTTCTGAGACTACGTTATTAATTTAAACTTGGCCCTCTGAAGAAAAAATAAAGCATGTGAACTTCAGTCTTTTTTCATAGTGATAAAACAATAATACATCCAGGATTCTTGCTGTCAAAATTCAAATGATTTAACTCCAGCACGCTAATGCACTGGTGGTTTTTTTTTTTCTTTTTCTCACAGCTAACTAATGTAGATCAAAAGTGTGTTGAAATTACTCTTAATGCTTCATGAGAAGAGCGGCTTGTTTGATACTTTTGCAGGACTGTTTCATTATCGTGATTTTCAAGCATGCCGAGGTGCCTTGAGAACTCTCCTAGCTGCTTGAGGGTAGCTGACCTTTCTTTGATTTTTCTTTTTTTATACCCAATATCAGGTGCCCAACAGGCAATTAGGGGGCAACACCGAAATGCACGCACCAAACAAAAGGCCCTTCCTCCAGGGGCTCCGCGGGCGCACGGAGCGGGCCTTCCCACTGCTGCCCAGCAGGGGGAGCTAAAGGCTCACCGTCCGCGTCTAGCTCGCCGCCGGCCCCGCGCGGTCCCCGAACGCGCCGCCGC